TGGATTCAGTTTGCTCATGTTTTATTTAGAACATTTTTGTATTTATATTCGTGAGTGAGAAGGACTTGCTATTTTTCTTTCTCGTATTCTCCTGCCTGTTTTTATTATCAAGGTTATACTAGTCTCATAAAATAAGTTGGGGAATAATCTCTCTTATTCAATTTGCAAGAAGTGTTTGTAAAAATTGGAATTACAGTTTTCTCAGAATGTGACATATAATTAATTTGCATAACTCTCTGAGCTCATTGTTTTCCTTGTGGGAAAAAATTTAACTGTAGATAATTTGCTTAATCGATAGAATTCTTCACGTTTTGTATTTCTTTAAAAATAAATTACTTATTTTTCATTGGCAGCTTCTGTCTGGAGGTGAGATGAGAAGGCAGAAAGGGTCAGGAGCTGGTTGAACGGACACGGGAAATCTGGGGTGGAAAGGAGGAGTGTGCTGTCACAGTATAGGGAGAGCAACTAGGGTCACATAACAATGTATGTATGAATTTTTGTATAGAACTAACTTGAATTGTAAACTTTCATTTAAAGCACAATAAAAAAATCACTGATTTTTCTTTTCTTTTTTAGTGAGTGTAATTTACATAAAGGGCATCCACCTTAAGTATACAGCTTGATGATTTTTTTTCTTGGGCATCCACCGGTGTAACCACCACCCATATCACCATACAAAATATTCCTAGCACTCCTGCAGGCTTCCTTGAACCCACTGCCATTGGATCCTCTGCCTTAAAGGTACTCGTTGCTCTGAGTTCTGTCACCATAGGTTAACTTCGCCTGTGTTGGAATTTCACGTAAGTAGAATCATACAGCACGCTCTTGGTGTGTCTGGCTTTCACGTACCGTCATGTCTATGGGATTTATCTGTGTTCTTGCACGTAGCAGTAGCTCATTTGTTTTCATTGCTTTGGAACCTTTCATTATATGAACACACCACCATTTACTTACGCATTCGACTGTTAATGGATAGGTGGGTTATTCTGAGCTCTATTTCTTCTTGAATCTGTTTCGATTACAATATTTTTTTAGGAATCTGTCCAATTTGTCTAAGAATTCAACTTGTCATAAATTATCCATAATATTTTCTTGTATATGTAATCTTTTGAATCTGTAGTTTATGCGCTTATTTTTGTATTTAATATTGTTCATTGTACCTTCACTGTTATGCAGAGGTTAGTCAGTTTTAATAGTAAAACCATGGATGTCAGAAGGATCAAGGATAGAGGATACCTCCTTAGAAACGAAGCTTAACTTATACTAAGCTTCTCCAGAATAAGGGGTAGGAACTCATTTACAGTTATCTAACTAAAAGGACATTTCCTTCACTTTTTTAGAACAAGGAAATTCTGATTCAAAGTGACATGGTATCTATACCACTAAAAAAAAAAACCAAAAAACTGTTAGCAACTCTCGAGGGAAGATTGAAAAATAGCTACAAATTCCTTCCATTCCTGCATGTGTGGCACTTTGCATTGTGACTTTGCCATTCCTTCTCCGAGAAGTGAGACAGCTTCACAGCGCTTGAATCTGGGCCCTTGAATTGGTCACATGACTTACTGTGCCCAGTGGGACATGAGCAAATGTGATGCAAGCAGAGGCTTGAAAGAACTTGCACATTACCACCTCCTACCTTTTGCTCCTGGGAGTTTTTCTGGTACCATCAAAACAAGCCCAGGGTAACCTCCCATCCATGAATCAATCCAGTTGATATCAAGCCAACTGCTAGATGAGAGAAAACCAAACCAAACCAAAACAAAACAAAACCCATTGCCTTCTAGATGATTCTGACTCATAGTGACCTTATAGGACAGAATAGAACTGCTGCATAAGGTTTCCAAGGAGTGGCTGATGTATTTGAACTACTGACCTTTTGGTTAGCAGCTAAACACTTAACCACTGAGACACCAGGCCTCCTAGATGAGAGAGTGAGGCCAAATCAGATCATCCGGCGCCAGAAAAAACTGCCCAGTGAATCTGCAGAATTAGAAGACGTAATGAAATGTTTGTTGTTTTAGGCCACTATGTTTTGGAGTGGTTTTTTACGTAGTAAAAGGTAACTGATACACGCATTTAAAAAAAATAATAGCATACTGCTACAAACTTTCTCCTTGTACACTTTAACTTCCTTCTTTTTTTCTCCCCTAGGTTTATTTTGCAGGTACTTAACAGAGATGGTGGAACTGTTGGTGCCCAGCTCATTTACCAGATGTGCCCTCAGGACTGATAGAACTGAATTGCAAAAGTTGAGGGACATGTCAATCCATTGTCTGCAAATTATAGGCAGTTTCTAAATGTGGAGCAGAGTCACTAATCTTAGATTGTCTATTTTGAGTCATGACTTCCTACTACAAAGCAGGAGTTGTGATGTGGTACAAGACTTCTTATCCCCAGAATGTTGGGAAAACAGACCGAAGCACCGCAGCTGAATGTTAAAGTTAGTGCTCATATTCATAAGGCGCAAAGACATGAAGTCACTGAATCGCTTCTTTGAAAACAGGTTGAACCCATGCTCTGTAGTTAGTTTGAATAATCCATTCGTCAAAGTCACTGTGTCATATATGTATCTATTTACAAATATGTTTTCCCAGGTTCTAGGCTGTCTTTACACATTAGCTGTTTTTACATTAAAATTTGTTTTTTATTAAAAAAAAACAAAAACAAAAAACTACCCTTGCAAGAATGTAATACTTAACTTGTAGAGAATGGGATATTTTGACAAAAGTTTTAAAAAAAAGTTTCCTCTGGAAGCACCTAGTTAGAATTGATAAAGTTGACATACAAAAGGGCTGCAGTTTCTGGGTTTCTTGTGGAACAGGAATGAAGGAAAATCTGAGAGAAGATATTTTGGTTGGTTTCTGACGGCCTTACTAACGAGAATCACCAGGGAACCACTTTCTCCCATTTCTGTAAATAGGTTAATTTAGAAAAGACAAAGCCACAATCTACCAGTTGTTTCCCAAACAAGTTTTTCATTTTTAAGATGAAAACGGAGATCTAGAAGTACAGTTGGTTTAGAATATGTCTCAGCTACGATGAGATATCCCAGAGAGGGGGAAAAAAGAGAGGTCTGCATGTAATAGAGAGGACACTGAATTGATTGCAAACATACTCACATCACCACTCCCATACTCATATTCAATTAAAAAAAAAACCCACTGCCATTATTTCTGTAGCTTAATTAAAATCCCTGGTCTTCCAAACCCAGTGTTTAGAGGTATTATCCGTATTTAGAGAGAGTATCCTGGGGAACGTCAGTAACCACGGAATGGTCAGCAGAAGCTTCCATCCATGGTGAAAACCAAGCCCATTGCCATGGAGCCTATAGGACAGAGTAGAACTCCCCCATAGGATTTCCAAGGCTGTAAATCTTTAAGGAAGCAGACTACCACATCATTCTTCCACTGAGCAGCTGGTGGGTTGGAACCGCCAACCTTTCGGTTAGCAGCTGAGTGCTTAACCACTGCGCTGAACCAAGCTAGGAGGACCTCAATATGTCGTTGCTGTTGTTAGTTGGTGGAGTCAATTCCAACTCATGGCAACCTCATGTGTGCAAAGTAGAACTGCTCCATAGGGTTTTCAGTGGCTGTGACCTTTCAGATCACCAGGCCTTTCTTCCAAGTCTCCTCTGGGTGGGTTCAAACCGCCAACCTTTCGTCAAGTAATCTAGCACTTAACAGTTTGTGCCACTCAGCTCGCCTATCAATATATTAAGGAGGTATAATCCCAATTATACCTCAGAAAAGAGAAAGAGCTTTGAAAATTACTCACTGCATTACTATCTGATAGCGGCAGGTCATTTTGATTAGGGAATTAAATGGATTTAGGTGCGTGAGAGCGGACAGGAAGGGGAGGGCAACCCGGGGATTATAGGATAAGACGTACTGCTACTTTAAAATTATGCATGCGTGGCCCCATCCAGGTCCCTCCCACTGCCTGAGGTCCCAGCCCGGAAGCTTGGGGCGCTCAGTTCCACTCGGGCCCACCGCCGGCTTCGCTCTGAGTTTCAGGTAACCAAGGGTTTGCTGTGCAGACTGTTTTACCTGCTTGCCCAAGTCTTCCTTCCAGCTTTCCTGCTGCTGAGGCCTAGCTGCAAAGAGTAACCGGGTTTCCTGCAGCATCGCAGGCAACGAGGGACAATGGTCCTGTTGACGAGCCATTTGTCACACTGAGGGGACCGACTGACAAGCAATAAAAGAATGGTAACTCAGCTTATTTATCCATACAGTTACTGGCACAGTATAAGGGGTCCATATTTAACCTGCAGATACGCAGTCATACGAAGAAGCATCAACACAAACATTTGCTAAATGTGAAGGCGCAGGACAGATGGCGTTGGGTTGCTAATCAGCTTTACTATGAGCTTAAAGTTGCTGCGCATGCGGGGACGAGAGGGCGAGCCCCCAGGTGCTTTGCCAGCTTTATTTCGGGCATCTGCAGGTTAGCTCTGGGTTACAGCATACGGTGCCTGTGCGAGGAAGTCTGTGCCATTCTTTCCCTTGTTAAGCAGAGTAGATGTGCTAATTCCCCGGGGGATTACCGTGCAGTGAGACACGCACGTTCCACAACTAGTTGTCCTGTGGACTTTCAAAGTGCTTGATTTACCCGGTACAATCAAGATAGTTGCCAAAAGAAGGACAATTTCGTTCTTTAAACAATCCACTTGGAAATGTTGTTAGAGAGGCTCAGTGGTGTTCCTTTGTCAGGAGCTGGAAGTCTCCATACTTAGGATGAACTTAAGTTTTAAAGATGGCCCAGCTCTTCTGTGACACTGTTATGTTTTTGGTTCACAGTTGCCAGCTGCTACTCATGTCTTCGCCATGGCTAAGAGCACCTTTGGTATTACCTCCGTGTGAAGACGTGTCTGCGGGTTCCCGAAAATGGAGTATCTCAACGTTACTTAAAGCACCCTGCTTTAAAGTGGTGTTGGCGAGCAGCATGGGCCTTATTATTTATTTAGGAATGCTTTATCAGGAGGAGAATGCTTTTCTGTAAACATGAATTGCCTAGCTCTTTCACTGGGCTTCGGCTTCTGGTTTCAGGTCGCTGAAACATTAATCTTTACCTATTTTGCTTCCATATCGTTGGCCGCCTCACAGGGTCTTTTCCCACGGCTGGAGAACGTTGGGGCTTTCAAGAACGTTTCACTTTTGCCAACCCAAGCAACATGCGGACTACCAGACCGAAGCACTTTTTGTCAGAGCTCTGTGGAGGCTGACCGGATTCGGTTCTGTAGCCAGAGGTTTTGCGTTCAGGACTGCCCATTCAGATCGGAACCCCCCACCTACACTGCCCTGTTCTCAGCAGGCCTCAGGAGCTGCATCACGGCAGACAAGCAGGATCTGCCTCCCAGCTCCCCTAGCAATTCGACAAGCTTTATTTTTGGAAATCACAAGAATTGCTTCTCTTCTCCTCCTCCTCTAAGGCTGGCGGCATCATTTACTTTAGCTGTGTGGCTGAAACCAGAACAAGAAGGTGTAATGTAAGTAGCAGTGTGGGTGAAAGCTTTCCTAGGTCCCTGAAAACATCAGGA